GATCGTCTGGCGAGGAGGGGGACGGGGCGGCGATGAGCGTTGGCTCCTCTTCCCGATCCAGATCAGGATCGAGAGGCAGACGAGGGAGGAGTGTGCGATGTGGGGGGAGTGGGGGAAGTGGGATGGATCGAGGGTTAGGGTTCGGTTGCTCTGGGGAATAAGTGGGGAGTGGGGGTGGGCTGTTTGGGCCGGCCTGGTGGCCAGTTGGGCTGGTTGGCTCGGTGAGGGGGGGTCCTTTCTTTTGTTTTGTTTTTTCTTACTTTTTATATATTTTACTTTTTCTATTATAGTTTTGTATCCTATTATTTTAGTTTTAGTAAAAATATATACTTAGTATGTAAATTAGTATCTCAACTTAGTCCATACTCAAAAAGTCCAGTCTTCAGTAAATTAGTTTGACATTTTATTAATTACAAAAGGTATTTAAATAATTGTTTTTGCTGGTGTTTTATTCATCTCATATTATTTAAACATTTTATAAAGGTGTGGTTTCTCCACCATAATTATTTATGCAATATTTGGTTCACTCCAAACATTTTAATTTTAATATTTGAAAACTTTTATTGTTTGCTTGATTTTGGATTTGAATTAGAATCGGTTTCGAACTAACGTGAGATTAGCAACAGTAATAGAAGTGACGTGGCATCATTACTAGAGAATTACTGTAGCTTAAATATCTGGGCGTCACACCGCCCCTTCCTCTCCTCTCCTGCGATGGCTCCGCCTCGCCCACCGCCGCGCTGTCCTTTGACCCCCGTCGACCAGCGCATCACCAGCATCCAGGAGCGCTGGCTGGCTGGGCTCCAGAACTCGGGCTGGGACCTGGCATCGGTGCTGCGAGCACCGTCCCCCATCTGCTGCCGGCCACCACGAGCGTCGACCAATGCGGTGTCGGCTGTTCCTGCTCCACCGCCAATTCCGGGCCTCGTGGTCCTGGGCTCAGCGCCGGCGCCGTCCACAGAGCCGCCGCTTCTTGGGACCCCATTGGGCAGGTGGTTTTCTTGACCCCCGTCCAAGGGTTTTCTCCTATCGACGGGCAGTCCTCCTCGACCTCCGGCGTGGAGATGAGCATGGGGCCGATGCCGTAGGCCGTCGCCAGGGCCGGCTCCTCCTCTGCTCCGCCACCTCTCTCCTTCCCGCCGGGGTTTTCACCGCGGCCTCGGTTCGCTGTGACTGTGCGTGCTTTGGTGAGTCAAACGCCCTCAATGCTTGCTCGTATATGTAGATTAGGGGTTTATTTCTTATGCATGTTCTAGTAGTTAGTGGATTCGATAGGATTCGAGTAGTTTCGTTTGGATGTGATCCCAATCGAATCCAATCGGACCGATCTGTTCTTGTTTCGTACGGTGTGTGTCCTAGGATAATTTTCTTATGCTACTGCTGGTGTGTCCTATGATCTGTGTTCATGCTAGTAGTTGTGTTCATGCTAGAATCCCCAATGGTAGTGTGCTTTGCTAGGATCTGTGTTCATGGTATGGTCTTGCTAGGATCTGTGTTCATGGAAATGGCATGTTCATGTTGTTGTTCATGTTGCTACATACATGTTCAAGCTAGGGTTTGTGTTGATTGTTATACGTGCATGTAGTAGGATCATTTTAGGATGCTGCCAAATGTGCATGGGTGCACATGGGTGCTATTCAGGGGCGGGCCCAGTATAATTCAAGGGTATTCAGTTGAATACCCATTATATTTGGCAAATAAATTCTATATATATATAGTGTATTTCATGTGTACACAAGGGAAAACAAAAATAGATTCAGGAAATAAAGGCAAGCTAAGGATTTCAGCCCGAAAACAAGGCTAGCCCACTTCTCTCCTCACCACCCCGACATGGCCCAAATCGCTGCGGCAAGATGCAGAGCCCGCACGCGCTTTGCTAATGAGGCATATCGCACGAGACGAACCAGCGCTTCCCAATTCTGTTTGCACTCGTGGGATCGTGGGTAGGGCATGGCGGCAGGGCTGACCGTCATCCCCTTAACGCACGCGCGCACGGCGGCACAGGCAGGCGGGCGGCAGCGATGAAAGCATCTGACGGCACCCATCCCTTATTCCCTCAACCCTCGCAGCTTCGCTTCATCTTTAATCCATCTCGTCAGTTGGCAGCATCAGGCATCACCGCATCGAAGGCTCTAGGTTTCCTTCCAAAGTCACAAATTCAGTCGTTCAAGATTTGATTGATAATTTGATGTGTTCGTGTTTCTAAACATATTGACCGTCTGTCTGTTAAAATTTTGATCTGCAGATGTCAGCGCGTGGTCGTCTGCTTCAGTTGTCTAGCATTGACTTACACCCGTAAGTTAACTTGGTTAGTTGGATTTCTATTTCAGTATTTTAAAACTACAAAATTGTTTGAAATGAACTATGAATTTTTTAGACATGATAATTCGCAATTTTCCACATGAATTACAATGTGGGAATGTTTAAAAATTGGGGAATTATTACAACAAGCATTATTAATAAAAAAATAGTTCTCCTATAGTTTGTAAGTTTTTTCTAATCATTTTCTATTTCCTATCTTTTGTACTCCTATATGTTAAGATGTTGTCACTTTGATATGTTGACTTATTAGTCTTTCTATCCTTTGAACAGTTTCAAGTATGACCAATTTTACGATTCTATTACATTATGTTATATCTTTTATATAATATACAGTTAGTATAATATGGTGCCAAAAAATGGTGCTATAATCAATTATATACGCCAAAAAGAAAGATTTATAGGATTAAAATAGGCATTAAAATTTTGAATACACTCTCTTTAAATCATGGGCCCGCCCCTGGTGTTATTGGCACTTGATGTTGCTATTTTAGATGTTTTCATGCTTAGAATAGTGCACTGATTAGTAGCATTTGCCCAACAGCAAGTGCCATTGATAAGTAGCATTTGGTAAAGAGTTTGTGCACTGATCAGTGGTATTTACTATTGGGTAAATGTCTCTGATCAGTGGCATTTTGCAAAGAGTTTGTGCACTAATACTTGTCATCTTACCTGTCAAGATATTGAAGACTGACTGGGATGTGGCGGGTGGAGGAGCTCAGGTGCTGGCTGGAGCTGAGGGCGTCGAGGATTTCATCCCCACGAATAGGTGGCTCAGGACGGTGGACCTGCCTGGCAGGATCGCCTTCATGAGTCTGCCTCGTTCAAGGGGACGGTCTCCGAGGCAGGGCCATGAGGAGGGGGCTCGGGAGCCGCTGCGTTTCTACCAGCAGATCAAGGACAACGAGGACCTCGCCATGCTCCTCGTCCCTTGCAGATTGTGGAGGTGATGAACACCTGGTTGGTCATCAAGCGACTCCCGCGCGTGGTCAGGCTGTCGGCGAACAAGCGGTGCGTGTTCTGGGTGCAGGTCCAGAACTTCGAGGGACACATGGTGCTTGGCCGGGGCTGGAACTACTTCTCCTGCCGCCACCGGATCGTCTCCGGCGACCTCGTCGTTGTGCGCATCTCAGGACTCAGACTGAAGATTCAGATCTACAACCACGACTCCTCGGTCATGTGCAGATTTCGTTGCAGCAGGCGCAACTACCTTGGTGACATTGAGCATACTATGTAGTTAAGTTAAGTATAAGGTGTTAGTGTTGAACTCTTATGGTGTGTGGCGAGACTTATGAGTACTTGTGTTGGGAACTTGTTCATATTTTGGCCAGGAGCAGCACCCTGGCGTGGAGCAGGGAAGGAGGATGCCCCTGCTGTTAATTTAGATTTATGCTATGTAGTTAAGTAGTTTGCTGTCATTTCCTTGTTTTCTTTGTTTGATTTCATTTGGTTGCTTGTTTTGTTTGATCTCATGTATGCTTGTTGTTGTGCTGATCATGTGATGGTAAGGTCATCACATTTGAATAGGGTGAGTAGAACACAAACGCTGTTACAACCAAACAACTAAAGTTTTCATCTGTTCACACTCTAAGCACAAAAACGATAACCAAACAGTAAAAGTAAGTGCCCCTTAATGCGATGCAGGCAACCAAACAGATTGCATCTACTACGTATAAAACTACATTTTAAAAACCAAACTGATTGAAGATGGACGTACAATGCAACTACTTGCAAACTGCAACTAAACACGCCCTGTCATGAATGAGGAGTTGCGCCCTCTCCTCAGCCTTCGGGGCGCCCGTAGGAAGCTGGACTGAATATTTGTTTCTAAAAAAAAAACTGGACTGAATATTTAACTCGGCCGGGGGGCCGATATCATTGTATTACTGGGCCAAGCAATGGGCCAGCATCAGCTAGCCAAGTCCAGTAAGCATCAGCAAATCTGACGTACCCCATTCGTGCCCCGTCTCCACTCCCGCTGCCGACTCCGGCGACCACCATGGCCACTCGCCGGAGCCCCGCCACCACCCACCACCGCCTTCTCCTACTCCTCCTACCCTTGCTGCTAATCGGCTCGTTCCTCCTCCCCCTCTCGTCCGCCTACCGCCCCGGCGACATCATCCCCATGCTCCGCTCCGGCCAGTACCACGGCGTAATCAGATCGAACCATGCCCTTACTCAGAGCTAGATGCTCCGGAGCGAATTCGTCCGTTCCATCTCGTCTGACCCGTGCGGTTCTTATTGCAGTCGAGGTCGGTGTGGTTCGACGTCATCGGCCGCCACTGCCCGGTCTTCGCGGTCAACCGGGAGGTGAGGGTTTCTCGGAACTGCTCTACGGTTCGATCTTTGGGGATTTGCGTGTGGGGCGTATCGGTGATTTGGTTCTCTCGTTCGTGCAGGTGCTGATGCCGATCCCCAAACCCACAGGGTTCACCGGTGCGGATCCGTATAAGATGTAAGATTTAGATCTCCTAGCTTAAACTTGTCCTCAAGAATTTTTTGACACTGCTATCCTCCAACGTTCGAGGCAAATTGCTTGTGTGAATCAGTCAAATTGGCTAATTGGTTTCAAGACTACAAGATGCTGGATTTTCCAGGGTGGGTAGAGGGTTAGCCTAATGTTATAGGTGCACTGTGAATGAATGATGACTGTTGTAATTCGTAATGTAGTTTTCTGTAGAATATTCATACATCCATGCCATGAGACATTTGATTCCGCAAGTGCAAATTGGTATAACATTAAATTCAATACGATCATTTCACGAAAGATGTAAGTTTGCAAATCTGAATTGGTGATATACTAGCACTACTATGGCTCCTGATTTATGTTTATACATTCTGTGATCCAGAAGGTTTTGTGGTATGCAAAATTTATGCTATCTCAAGGTACTTGTTTGGTTAAAACATATTGAACTTAGACTCAGTAATGATGAAGTCACGGAAATTCGTAAGGTTGCTGGCATGCATGGTAAATTTTGTAAATAGTATGATAGTTGTACCGTATCTGTGTTTTGTGAATGATCTGTTTGCAGAGATGTGTCTGTCTTACATGGTCCTTCCTATGCAGAACATTTCAGATTGGACACGAAAAGTTCCATGTTCCTTGGCTTTATGTTATTAATCGCAAAAGCTCTGAAGTTCCACTGATTGATTTCCATTTAGTGAGTCCCCTGTTAACTGTTATATATGTAATTTCAGGGGAATACTTTCTTTCTGCTTATAATTATCTACCTTTGATTATACAGAAATACACTGGAAACGATTTGCTTGGTGTTACGGCTAAAGTAGTCGACATGCCTCACCATTGTATGTAATGCTATCGCCTCTCCTCACAATATATCCTTTTCTGTGTATTTTAGAAGTTTATATCCCTAGCATCTGTAGCGATGTATTTATTGTCATGTAAGGAAGTACCATGCATATGCATTCAAGTTGGATTGTTTGACCAAGTTTTTAATGCTAGACCATGTATTATGTATACATATGTTTCTCGGAGTTTCTGTTTCCAAAAACCTAAGGGTTTCCTGTGATAGCATGAATTGTTTGACAAGATTAATCTGTTGTTGCTGCTGTTGTATCATGCATCTTGTTGTTGTTGCTGTATCTGTTTGTTCTTTCTTGTGATCCATTATGAGCATGTTGTCCAGTCAGAGTGTAGTGCCTTATCCTAAGTGTTGCTAAGGGTTCAAGAGAAACTGCAAATATTTGTTTTGCTTTAGTCAAGTAGTCAACTTCTTTTACCATGTAGTAAAATAGTGGTGTGCTATTGAAGCAGCCTTTGTATGAGCATCAACAAGATACTCATGACTTCCTCTAAATCCATCTATGGGTATTATTGGCCTGCTGCAATGACATTATGCCCTGTTGGAAGGCACATTTGCTATAGACTATAGACTATTTATGTTCTAGGATAGATGAACTAATATTAAGTGTAAGTTTTCCTCTCTCTTTTTTACCATGCAGTAAAATGTATAATCACTATGTGTGTTTTTTCCTTTAAGTTTCTGAATTGGGTAGCCTAGTTGCTAACCCATCTGTGTTTCATTGGGGGCAGTTGTGGAACTTCATCCTGACATAAAGAAGGATTTCTGGGATCAACAGAATTGGCCAAAATATGTACTTGTTAGTTATACATGGTAAAAACTTATCTGGCCTTGTTTGCATTGATAAAATTTTGTTTCCAAGTACTAGTTTGAGAAAACTTTGAAGCGTGACATTACGACCAAATAATTCTTCTGTACAGGGAGGAACAATCAGAGATAGATGTTACTGCAGGATTCTATGTGTTATTTGGATCTGGTGAGTTAATCCCCCAAACCAAAAAATAAAAAATGTTTCATCATGCCATCTTCCACATAATAATCCCTTTCACATTTGTACTCTAAAAATGTTTTCACCGTGGTATTACAGGCCTTGTTCTTTCCTTCATCCTTGCAATCTATGTATTGCAATCATCTCAAGATAAGTTAACAAGGTATGATTATTCACATTTTCTTTTAGTTTCAATATAGGCTGATAATGTTGCCATGTTCTTGGTGAAATGAAAGTAACCAATATAAGAGATTGATACAATGACATTCTGCTGTCCTTGCAATGCAGCATGCTTAACTTTTTTTAGGGAGATGCTTTGTGACGCCCCCGATTTGACCGTACACTAATCATGCACGCAAATGTGTACGATCATGATCAGGGACTCACGGGAAGATATCACAACACAACTCTAGAACATAAATAAGTCATACAAGCATCATAATACAAGCCAGGGGCCTCGAGGGCTCGAATACAAGTGCTCGATCATAGACGAGTCAGCGGAAGCAACAATATCTGAGTACAGATATAAGTTAAACAAGTTGCCATAAGATGGCTAGCACAAACTGGGATACAGATCGAAAGAGGCGCAGGCCTCCTGCCTGGGATCCTCCTAACTACTCTTGGTCGTCGTCAGCGGCTTGCACGTAGTAGTAGGCACCTCCAGTGTAGTAGTCGTCGTCGACGGTGGCGTCTGGCTCCTGGACTCCAGCATCTGGTTGCTACAACCAGAAAGAAAGGAAAGGGGGAAAAAAGGGGGGAGAAAGCAACCGTGAGTACTCATCCAAAGTACTCGCAAGCAAGGAACTACACTACATATGCATGGGTATATGTGTAAGGAGGCCATATTGGTGGACTGAACTGCAGAATGCCAGAATAAGAGGGGGATAGCTAGTCCTATCGAAGACTACGCTTCTGGCAGCCTCCGTCTCGCAGCACGTAGAAGAGAGTAGATTGAAGTCCTCCAAGTAGCATCTTCAAGTAGCATCTCCAAGTAGCCTCTCCAGTAGCATCGCATAGCATAATCCTACCCGGCGATCCTCCCCTCGTCGCCCTGTGGAAAAGCGATCACCGGGTTGTATCTGGCACTTGGAAGGGTGTGTTTTATTAAGTATCCGGTTCTAGTTGTCATAAGGTCAAGGTACAACTCCAAGTCGTCCTGTTACCGAAGATCATGGCTATTCGAATAGATTAACTTTCCTGCAGGGGTGCACCACATAACCCAACACGCTCGATCCTATTTGGCCGGACACACTTTTCTGGGTCATGCCCGGCCTCGGAAGATCAACACGTCGCAGCCCCACCTAGGCACAACAGAGAGGCCAGCACGCCGGTCTAAACCTAAGCGCGCAGGGGTCTAGGCCCATCGCCCTGAGCACACCTGCACGTTGCGTGGGCGGCCGAAAGCAGACCTAGCCTAGTGGCGTTCCAGTCCAATTCGGCGTGCGCCGCTCAGTCGCTGACGTCACGAAGTGCTTCGGCTGATACCACGACGCCGAGTGCCCATATCTTTCCCACGTAGTTGGTTAGTGCGTATAGGCTTGTAGCCAACTCAGATCAAATACCAAGATCTCGTTAAGCGCGTTAAGTATCCGCGAACGCCGAACAGGGCCAGGCCCACCTCTCTCCTAGGTGGTCTCAACCTGCCCTGTCGCTCCGCCACAAAGATCCACTCGCGGGTGCTCCACCAGCCGACCCGACTTTAATCTCCACATGTATCATGTATAAAGTATATAGTATATACCCGTGATCACCTCCCGAGTGATCACGGCCCGATAGTATAGCACGGCAGACGGACAAGAATGTAGGGCCACAGATGAATATACTAGCATCCTATACTAAGCATATAGGATTACAGGTAAAGGTAACAACAGTAGTAACAAGGCCAGGCTATGCATCAGAATAGGTATAACAGAAAGCAGTAACATGCTACACTACTCTAATGCAAGCAGTATAGAGTAGAATAGGCGATATCTGGTGATCAAGGGGGGGCTTGCCTGGTTGCTCTGGCAAGAGAGAGGGGTCGTCAACTCCGTAGTCGAACTGGGCAGCAGCAGCGTCGGTCTCGTTGTCTACCGGAGAGAAGAGGGGGAAGAAACAATGAATACCATGTAAACAGATGCATATCGATGCATGACATGACAAGTAACGATGCTAGGCGTGACCTGACGTGGTATGAGGTGATGCCGGTTAAGGGGGGAAACATCCGGGAAAATATCCCCGGTGTTTCGTGTTTTTGGGCAGAGGAGCCGGAGGGGGAAAGTTGCGGGTTCGATAGGTTAGGGGTGTGTGGCGGACGAACGGACTGCGTATCCGGATTCGTCTCGTCGTTTTGAGCAACTTTCATGTACAAAGTATTTTCATCCGAGCTACGGATTATTTTATATTAATTTTTAAAGTTTTTAAATCATTTTCTAGAAATTAGCATAATTAAATTAATTTAGAAAATGCAATTATGATGTTAGCATGACATCAGTATGATGTCAGCAGGACCAAAGGTTGACTAGGTCAACCCTGCAGGTGGGTCCCGTATGTCATAGGTACAATAACCTAATTAATCTATTAATCAGTTTAATTAGTTAATTAGGTACCTAATGTTTAATTAGTTTAATTAAACAGGATTGATTAAGTTAATTAAGTCAATTAATTAATTAACATTTTATTTACTTATTATTTATCTATTTATTTTTAAGTTCTTTTTTTAATCGTTCTGGGGTGGGGCCCCCTTGTCATAGGCCCCTGGGGACCTAGCGGGTCGAGCGTGCTACGGGCGTGCGGGCGCAGGGGCGCTAGCGGGGCCATTGGGGCCACCGGTCAGCGACCCAGCGGGTGGCCCCGGGCGGTGCCACGTAGGTAGGTGCCGGAGAGAGCTCCGGCAAGCCTCTCCCGCGGCGGCACTTCACCGGAGATGGCCGGAAACGCGGTAAAGGGGGTCTCTGGGCCTGTGGTTTGGACCTACGGGTGCGGTCCGGCATCGTGCACGTGATGGTGACGACGGCCGGTGCCGAGGACGAACGGAGCATTGCCGGCTTTGAGCGAGGCGGATGGCCAGTGCGGGCGACGAAGCGCTGGCTGGCGCGGAGCTGCAGCGCGGGGCGAGGAGCAGCGCAGCACGGGGCGACGAGCACTCGCGCCTGGG